TTAATTATAATCCATCAAATATTTTCGCTCGCGCGCGATTGGTCTAAACGCGTCACGTGACCGAATATTCCCCAGCTAAAACTGGGGAATATCCGAGAAAATTCCCCAATTTTCGAAACTGCACGTTTTGCGAAAAATATTTTAACCCTTTACTCCCTAAGAGCGCCATTTCGGACACAACGTCAAAACTTTGTGAATATTTGGGAGATTTCTATGACTTTTTGCCACGAAAATTACCTTGTAAAGATCTGCTCATTGAAGGCATAAAATTGTGACCCCGTCCTATTTAAGGCATTGTTGACCACCCCCATTATTTTCCAATTTCTTTTTTGAGATGCACAAGGAATGCAGGACTTGTTTCACATCAAGCTATGTACTATAAAGATCTGCTAAATAAGCTAAGGTTCAGGGACATACCTATGATATTTGAGAATTGATCCGTGTTGGAAGCTTTTCAGTTTCACATTTTAAAACAATTTCTCTCAAAATGACTACCTCTTTCATAACTGCTGATGTCAGTTCTTTAATAAGCTGATTAGTGGCTTTCAAATGGAGGCTATTTTTTATATAAAGCCCATCCGAGGAAACTACCCGGGTGGACAGTACTCGTCCGTGATTTTTTTTTTCAGTAAACAAGCGGGCTTATTGAAAATATACAATTGACATTGTGTTAAGTGGGTTTTTTGTTTGGGTTTTTTTTTTTTCCAAATTTTACATTTTGCTCTCACGGCTTTCATCTAATGAAGATGAAAATGATTCAATGTGGTTTTTGAACTGGCACACGGAAGAAAATTTAGTGGTTAACACTAAAGACAATAAAGTGTGTATGTCTCCAAACTATCGGTCTGATGGTTGCCCCTTGGAAATTTGATGTTCTTAAAACTAGCACATTTGTTTTAAGAACATCAAATTTCCGCGGCGCAACTATCAGCCGATAGTTCTTCGACAAAAAACATTCTATTGTTTAAATAGAAATCTCGAACTCGTAATCTAATTGTTTAATATAGCTGCGTGGAGAGACGCACTGTGAGAGTGAAGTGCAGAAAACAGAGCAATATCCCCTGCCAACTCTCCTTCTGTCTCTCTGTCTACTGATTACAAGCTTAAAGTTCTTATGTGCGTTATTTCAAATGTTTTTACTGAATAATATTTTCCCTATTCTTTCAAAATCCCCTGATATATCATGTCTGACTCTTCTTCGTTGATTTCATACATATTTTTGCCATCAGTTTTAAATTCCATGGTGATGGAAGAGCTCTATATTTCATCTCTTTCTTTTTTCAGGAAGGAAATCAGTGTCATTCGGAAAATTAGCGCTTTTCAAGCAAGCATTATAATCATGGTCTCTGCTACACCAAGATTAACATCACTTCTGATCTTTGTCGCCTATCTCTTGGCTGGCCATACTTTGACGCCTACGTCCGTATTTGCTGTTTTCGCTTATGCAAAGGTTTTGGGTCTGTTTACCAAGTACCTCGGGAAACGATTGGGTCCTTTCCTAGACTGCAACATGTCCGTTGGAAGGATTCAGACATTTTTGGAAACAGTGGAAAGATCTAGTTCAGATAGTAGTTTAAACACCACAACTGGAAAAATAGGGAAGTGTTTCGATGAACAGGAATGTTTTGCGCCCTGGAATGGATATGCACGGAGTCAGCAACTGAAGCTGCTGGTTTCTTTAACCGATGTTTGTTGCAAANATGGAGTTCTTCCAGTGATCGTTTTGATGTTTATTTATATACTGGTCTGGCCCTGGGATCAACACTTTTACTGTATTTGTCAGCGTTCTCCTGCTACCAAGCAACCATTAACTCCTCAAGGAATCTTCACAGAAATATGCTCGAAGCAGTTGTCAGGGCAACGGTGCATTTCTTCGACACGAATCCATCTGGAAGGATTTGCAATCGATTCTCCAAAGACATTGGACTGATGGACGAGACGTTATTTTCTGCGTTCTTCGATCTTTTAGATATCTTTTGGGGAACGTTCCTTTCAGTTGGAATTCCTTCGGTGTCTAATTTTTGGGTCGTAATCGCTGCCGTTCCTCTCGCCGCGCTGGTGATTTATTATGGGCTATACTGTTTGCAAATTTGCAGAGAAGTGTCACGACTTGAAGCCATCAATCGGAGTCCCGTGTACTCGCACTTTTCCCTAACCCTCGAGGGTATTGTGAACATAAGAACCTATCAACAGCAGGAACACTTCGTCCAGGAATTTTTCAGGTGATTTAGGGGTATATTCTTTTAATTTCTAAAGAATTTTGCGATTAAAGGCGTCGTCGCCAAAGTTTGAATTGAAATTGAATTGAAATTGAATTGAATCGAAGGACGTGGATGATAATTACACGTCACCAAGTATAATTTTATCAATGAGTTTGGAAAGTGATTATTATTACTTTCTTTCTATTTTTTTCTTTTGACGTTAGGGCTGCTCGTTTAACCTCTTGTAAACTTTACACACCCAGAAATATTTCATCAATTTTGAAAATATATATTTATTATATGGAGAAGAGTGTTTTACTGGGAACTAAACCACTCGTAGATTCCATACGCCACTNCGATTCCCGCCTTTTGCTTTTGTTGAATTGGTTTCTCCATATACTAAAAAGAACATTACACGTTGGCTCGAAGATATGAATTTTATGTTCTCGTGGCAAGAACATAAAATTCATATCTTCGAGCCAACGTGTAATATCCTCTATATATCATATAACCGTGACAGTGCTTGGAACTGTTATCTTAATAAGCATAATGATTATTAAATGATTTTATTTTATTTTTCTCCGTTTGTTTTTTTTTTTTTTAACACCTCGAAGTTCGTCAAAAGTACTCGGTTTTGCGTCATAATTTTAACTTTCTAGGTGTTTGGAAATGTGGTTCAACACGGTATGTCGTATTTGTTATGTTGCAACCAAAACAAAAGTGGTGTAATTCCAATCAGTCATGCACGATTGTGTTAAATAATAGCAACAAAAAAATTCACATCCAGTACCTGTTTACAAATTTCACTGAGTTAGAATTGACTCTGAAAGACTGAAATTTGATTCTTCAGAGAACAATTTTAACTTTTCTTGCGTTCTTTTCATCAGACATCAAGACAACTTGAGTAAGACGTGGTTCACCTCGATCGCTATGGTCCGCTGGCTCCATTTCCGGATGGATTGCATCACGTCTTTGTTTCTAACAGTGGTGACTGCAATAGCCGTGATGACTTCACAACACGCAGGTGAGAAAAGATTATTGGTTTAGACGTCNTGATGGACGAGACGTTATTTTCTGCGTTCTTCGATCTTTTAGACATCTTTTGGGGAACGTTCCTTTCAGTTGGAATTCCTTCGGTGTCTAATTTTTGGGTCGTAATCGCTTCCGTTCCTCTCGCCGCACTGGTGATTTATTATGGGCTATACTGTTTGAAAATTTCCAGAGAAGTGTCACGACTTGAAGCCATCAATCGAAGTCCCGTGTACTCGCACTTTTCCCTTACCCTCGAGGGTATTGTAAACATAAGAACTTATCAACAGCAGGAACACTTTGTTCAGGAATTTTTCAGGTGATTTATGGGGTATATTCTTTTAATTTCTAAAGAATTTGGCTATATAAGGTGTCGCCGCAAAGGCGTGGATAATAGTTACACGTTATTAAGTATTTTATCATTGAGTTTCGAAGGTGATTATTATTTCTTTCTTATCTGTTTTTTTTTTTCTTTTGATTTTAGGGCTGTTCGTTTAACCTTTTATAGACTTTACGCACCCAGAAATATTTCATCAAGTGTGAGAAAAAGGAAATCATGACCGTGACAGTGTTTGGAAATCTTATCTTAATAAGCATAATAATTACAAAATTTTTTATTTTATTTTTCTCCGTTTTTATCTTTTGGCACCTCGAAGTTCGTCAAAAGTACTCGGCTCTGCCTCGTGTTTTTAACTTTCTAGGTATTTGGAAATGTGGTACAACACAGTCTGTCGTATTTGTTATGTTGCAACCAAAACAAAAGTGGTGTAATTCCAATCAGGCATGCACGATTGTACAAAATAATAACAATAAAAAAATCACATCCAGTACCTGTGTAGAAATTTCACTGAGTTAGAATTGACTCTGGAAGACTAAAATTTACTTCTTCAGATAACAATTTTAACTTTCCTTGTCTTCATTCCATCAGACATCAAGACAACTTGAGTAAGACGTGGTTCACCTCAATCGCCGTGGTCCGCTGGCTCCATTTCCGGATGGATTGCATCACATCTTTGTTTCTAACGGTGGTGACTGCAATAGCCGTGATGACTTCACAACACGCAGGTGAGAACGATTATTGGTTTAGACCCCGGTACCTGCATGCAGCTGAAATGGACAAACGACATGGGAGGCACGAGAAATGTGATTGGTCGTCGGAAATCTTAATTAATGGAAACATAACATTACGCGCGGAAATTAAAGGTGTCAAGATAAATGGGGAGCCAAAACAGAGAATGAAGACTGACACCCAAGGAAGTGTCACCATGTCTTCTACACTGCTTTTTTTTTCTGCTGTTATTGTTTTTGTTGTTTTTGTTTTGTAGAAACGCAATGCACCATAATGAGTGCGCGTAGGAATAACGTTCAAGCACTAGCTTCCATTTCCACGTTTCATAGAGAGAGATCTAGTGGGCACTGATGAAGTGACACATTCTCTTACCACGA